GTGAATCTGTGTGTATCTGTGTGTGTGTGTACCAGCGTTGACGGCTCTCTGGGGGTGTGTGTGTATGTGTGTGTGTGTGAATCTATGTGTGTGTGTGAATCTGTGTGTGTATCTGTGTGTATCTGTGTGTGTGAATCTGTGTGTGTGTATGTGTGTGTGTATCTGTGTGTGTGTATGTGTGTGTGTGTATGTGTGTGTGTGTACCAGCGTGGACGGCTCTCTGGGGGTGTGTATATGTATGTGTGTGTGTATCTGTGTGTGTATCTGTGTGTGTGTATGTATGTGTGTGTGAATCTGTGTATGTGTGTGTGTGTGTATGTGTGTGTGTGTACCAGCGTGAACGGCTCTCTGGGGGTGTGCGTGTGTATCTGTGTGTGTATCTGTGTGTGTATCTATGTGTGTATCTATGTGTGTGTGTGTATATGTGTGTGTGTATCTTTGTGTGTGTGTGTACCAGCGTGGACGGCTCTCTGGGGGTGTGTATATGTATGTGTGTGTGTATCTGTGTGTGTGTGTATGTGTGTGTGTATCTGTGTGTGTGTGTATGTGTGTGTGTATCTGTGTGTGTATCTATGTGTGTGTGTGTATGTGTGTGTGTGTATCTGTGTGTGTGTGTGTATCTGTGTGTATGTGTGTGTGTGTGTGAATCTGTGTGTATCTGTGTGTGTGTGTACCAGCGTGGACGGCTCTCTGGGGGTGTGTGTGTATCTGTGTGTGTGAATCTGTGTGTATCTGTGTGTGTGAATCTGTGTGTGTGTATGTGTGTGTGTGTTGTGTGTGTGTATCTGTGTGTGTGTGTACCAGCGTGGACGGCTCTCTGGGGGTGTGTGTGTGTATCTATGTGTGTGTGTATGTATCTGTGTGTGTATGTGTGTGTGTATCTGTGTGTGTATGTATGTGTGTGTGAATCTCTGTGTATGTGTGTGTGTATCTGTGTGTGTGTATCTGTGTTTGTATGTGTGTGTGTGTGTACCAGCGTGGACGGCTCTCTGGGGGTGTGTGTGTGTATCTGTGTGTGTGTATCTGTGTGTGTGTATCTATGTGTGTGTGTATCTGTGTGTGTATGTGTGTGTGTATGTGTGTTTGTGTGTACCAGCGTGGACGGCTCTCTGGGGGTGTGTGTGTGTATCTATGTGTCTGTGTGTGTGTATGTGTGTGTGTGTATGTGTGTGTGTATCTGTGTGTGTGTATGTGAATCTGTGTGTATGTGTGTGTGTATGTGTGTGTGTGTACCAGCGTGGACGGCTCTCTGGGGGTGTGTGTGTGTATCTATGTGTGTGTGTGTGTGAATCTGTGTGTGTGTGTATGTGTGTATGTATGTGTGTGTGAATCTGTGTGTGTGTATCTGTGTGTGTGTACCAGCGTGGACGGCTCTCTGGGGGTGTGTGTGTATCTGTGTGTGTATGTCTATCTGTGTGTGTGTACCAGCGTGGACGGCTCTCTGGGTGTGTGTGTGTATCTATGTGTGTGTGTGTGTGAATCTGTGTGTGTGTATGTGTGTATGTATGTGTGTGTGAATCTGTGTGTGTGTATCTGTGTGTGTGTATCAGCGTGGACGGCTCTCTGGGGGTGTGTGTGTATCTGTGTGTGTATGTCTATCTGTGTGTGTGTACCAGCGTGGACGGCTCTCTGGGGGTGTGTGTGTGTATCTGTGTGTGTGTATCTGTGTGTGTGTGAATCTGTGTGTGTATCTGTGTGTGTGTGTATGTGTGTGTGTGTACCAGCGTGGACGGCTCTCTGGGGGTGTGTGTGAGCGCGCCGGGCGGCGCCATCGCCGCAGTGCCCAACTGGACGCTGCGAGGGACCCAGCTGATGAACGGCACCTCCATGTCCTCTCCCAACGCCTGCGGTGGCATCGCGCTCATCCTGTCGGGTCAGTCGCTGGGGTCACCACGGCCGGGTCGCTGGGGTCACCATGGGCCGGGTCAGTGTCTGGGGTCACGATGACCGGGTCAGTGGCTGGGGTCACGGTGGCTCGGGTCAGTGGCTGGGGTCACCATGGGCCGGGTCAGTGGCTGGGGTCACCATGGGCCGGGTCAGTGGCTGGGGTCACGGTGGGCCGGGTCAGTGGCTGGGGTCACGATGGGTCGGGTCAGTGGCTGGGGTCACGATGGGCCGGGTCAGTGGCTGGGGTCACGATGGGCCGGGTCAGTGGCTGGGGTCACGGTGGGCTGGGTCAGTGGCTGGGGTCACGGTGGGCTGGGTCAGTGGCTGGGGTCACGGTGGGCTGGGTCAGTGGCTGGGGTCACGGTGGGCTGGGTCAGTGGCTGGGGTCACGATGGGCCGGGTCAGTGGCTGGGGTCACGGTGGGCCGGGTCAGTGGCTGGGGTCACCATGGGCCGGGTCAGTGGCTGGGGTCACGGTGGGCTGGGTCAGTGGCTGGGGTCACCACGGCCGTGTCGCTGGAGCGGTACCTGGGCCTTCTGCAGGACTGAAGTCCCTGGGAGTGCCCTACTCACCGCACTCGGTGCGACGGGCCCTGGAGAACTCAGCGGTGCGGCTGGGAGACATCGAAGTCTTTGCTCAGGGCCACGGACTCATCCAGGTGAGAGACTCACACACACACAGACTCACACACACACACACAGACTCACACACACACACTCACACACAGACTCACACACACACACAGACTCACACACACACACAGACACACACACACACACAGACTCACACACACACACTCACACACAGACTCACACACACACTAACACACACACACAGACACACACACAGACACACACACAGACACACACACAGACTCACACACACACACACACAGACTCACACACACAGACTCACACACACACAGACTCACACACACACACAGACTCACACACACACACTCACACACAGACTCACACACACACACAGACTCACACACACACACAGACACACACACACACACACAGACTCACACACACACACAGACTCACACTCACACACACACACAGACTCACACACACAAACAACAACAACAACAACCGCCATTCGCCACTAAGTGGCGGTGACGTCACCACGACGCTTGTGCCAGGCTATGTGCACCCTGAGGCCACGTGAAGTGTCGAACGCCCGCTGGCAGGTGGTCACGGGGCAGACCCAGGTGCCACGGGTCGACTGACTGAGATGACTGGCTGATGCACCACCTGTGCCCCCTACTGTGCCAACCTGCTGTGCTTTAGCCACCCGGCGCTCCGCTCGCTGTTGTGAGCGTCGCTCCTCCGCCCTCCGTTGTTGTTGGAGGGCGACTGCCTCCAACTGCCCAGTAGCATCCTTCACGAGCCTCCTCCACAGAGGCCGATCTTGACACCGCTGGTACCAGTCATCGGCAAGTCCACTCAGCTCCACGTCCTCCTGTACCACATCACTCCATCTCTTCTCTAGCCCGTGCCGCGCCCGCTTAGCCCCCTCAATCCGGCCAAACAAAAGCTGTTTCGGCATGCGGTGGCTGGGCATGCGGGCTACATGACCCAGCCATCGCAGCCTTGCCTCCCGGAGGAGCTCACCGATGGGACCCTGCCCAGATCTTTCAAGGATTTGTGAGCTCCTCACACAATCCAGTCTGGTTAAACCCAGGATGGATCGTAGGCAGGCCAGCCTAAATGTTTCTAACCGGCGAAGATGTTCCATTAGGGGGGTCCACGTTTCGCAAGCGTAGAGAAGGGAGGGAATGACCGTGGCCGAGAAGACCTGAAGCTTAGTGCGGAGCGACAGACCAGGTAGCTTCCACACAGCGTTACGCAACCGATGAAAAGATATTGCCGCTCGACTGATTCGGAGTGAGACCTCTGCTGTTAAACTGGAGCCAGTCATAAGCACACTGCCCAGGTATGGGAAACTCTCCACTCTCTCCACAACTGCCCCATCACCGATTGGGAGTTGTGGGGGTGGAGTGTCCGATGGTACAAAATACCCAGGCAGGTGCTTAGTTTTGGTGGGGCTGATGGTAAGGCCCCACCTCTTAGTGGCACGCTCCAGTCTCAGCAGCAGCGTCTCCAACTCCTCCTCTGACTGAGCAGCTATTACCAAGTCATCAGCATACATAACGTGGTTGAGCAATAGGGAGCCATCCCTTGACCGCACCCGGGCATCGATTAGCCTCCCATTATATCTGTACCATATGGAGATTCCCCCGGTACAGCTAATGAAGGCTTCACGAACTACGTGGTCAAAATAGATGTTAAATAATGTGGGAGCCAGAGGACATCCCTGTCGCACCCCAAGGTGTACAGGGAATGGCTCTGACTCCCGGCCACGTAGTTTTACCCGGGCCCGCTCACCATCATGAAGGTCCTTAATGATCGTGAGCAGAGGGTCAGGTACTCCAAAAGCACGAAGAACGACCCAGAGCCCAGGCCTACTGATGGTATCATAGGCCTTGACCAGGTCAATAAAGCAGAGATGTAGGTCTTGTTGGAATTCCCTACACCTCTGCTGTAGCAGACGGACAGAAAATATGGCATCTGTGCAGGACCGCCCTTTCCTGAAACCGCATTGGGGCTCCGCAAGCCTCTCCTCAGCGTGCCTGGCAAGGCGATGCTGAATAATCCTTGCCAGGACCTTTCCCGGCACACTGAGGAGTGAGATGCCCCTGTAGTTGTTACAGTCTGTGCGGTCCCCCTTCTTAAAAAGGGGGACCACCAGGGCATCCTTCCAATCCTGCGGAACCCGTCCAGTGGTCCAGACTGTTGTTATGATGTCATATAGGGCAGTCTGTGCACAAACGCCACCCTCCCTCAGCATTTCGCTTGGGAGATCATCTCTGCCCGCTGCCTTTCCTGGTCTCAGACTCCGGATCGCCTTCAATACTTCCTCAGCAGATGGCACCTCAGCCAGCCACTCACAGGGGGTGACTTCATCCAATATTTGAGGCACCGCAGCCTCAGCAGGGTCATCCTCACTTTGTGCCACGGTGTTTTCCTGGCTGAGGGATTTTCCCTCCCCCAGGACCTCACAGAAATGCTCAGCAAATCTGCGAACCTGTTCCTGGGGGTCGGAAATTGGATCACCGTTTTTTCCCCTAATGATGGTAATAGGTGTGGCGCTGCAGGTTACTTTTTTGATGGAGTTAAATAGAGATTTGTGATCACGGGCCACTGAGGCAGACTCCATCTCCTCAGCAACCCGCGACCACCACCCATCCTTGCAGCGCCTCACGGCTCTCCGAACCTCCGAGCGAAGGCTGCGGTAAGCCTCCTCATTCTCTGACGTGGGATTCTGTAGCCGATGACAGTGGGCCTGTCGCTTTTTCTCAACCATCCTGAACAACTCCTCTGTCATCCAGGGTGTCTGGGGAGGTCTGGACCGCGTACCCAAAGCAGCCATTGCAGCTGCATGAGTCACAGTCCTAAACCTCGCCCATTTACCCTCGACATCCGGAGGAGTCGGGGACGATGCCAATCCCAGCCGCAAGCGATGATGAAATTCTCGCTTGCAACTTTCATCAGATAACTGAGACCAGGCCACTTTAGGTTGGAATGGGGTCCTGGGTGTACACCCACCACCGGAGTGGAAGAATGGCAGGCGCATCTTACAGATGACTAGTCGATGGTCAGAGGGCAGATCAGCTCCACGGTAGGTCCTGGTGTCAAGGACATGGGCTCGCATTCGCTGGTCCGTCACTATGTAGTCCAGCAGATGTTCTTGCTTGGACCCGGCATGCATCCATGATGTTGTGTGGATGCGCCGATGCCGGAACAGCGTGTTGGTAATTACAAGCCCATGGGCTGCACAACAATCTAGCAGCCTCCTACCGTTGTTATTGAGCTGATCTGGCCCATGCCCTCCAATCACTCCAGACCAGGTGCCAGTATCATGACCAACTCGGGCATTGAAGTCACCCAACATGATGACTCTATCCCGAGGGGCCACTTTAGCCAGCACCTGTGACAGGAGGTCATAGAAGGCATCTGACTCATCGGCTTTGCCTGCATCCCTCCACGGATGTTCATCTTCGGTGGGGGCATAAGTAACCACGACCACCATTCCTCGCCTCCGGTTGATGGGAAGGCGAGCCCAAAGTAGCCTGGGGCTTACAGCTTCCCACACCTCACCGCCACGCTCCCACGCCCCCTTCATTCTTTTGTTCAAAAGAAGACCCACACCCTGTTGTTTGGCAGTCTGCTGCCCCGAGTAAAGGACTGTCCACCCCTCATGGTGGCAGGAGCCAGAGCCGGTCCACCGGACCTCCTGAATGCCGCATAGATCCAGGCGGTACCGGTCCAGCTCCCGACAGAGGAGTGGCAGCCTCTCCTCTGCAGTGAGCGTTCGAACATTCCACGTGGCCACCCGTAGTGGCTTTTCGTTGTTTCTGGAGTAGCCCCGAGGGTAGGTATTCAATCTCCTGGCTCCGCCAATTGGGGTTTGGCCAGGAGACGTCATAGACGCCTGGCCCCCCGGGGCCTCCGGCACAAGCTTAGTTGTTACATATTTCAGTTTAATTCGTGGTTTCGTGGTAATTAATTGAAGGTGGAGGGGTTACCAGCCCCTCGCACCCGTCCAGAGCCCCCGTTTAGCCCCTGTGGTGGACACATATGCCATGAGGGGAGGAGCCAATCAAAATTGGATCTCCCCCCACAGCGCTGTCCACGACAGAGTTGCCCGTCCGGCACACACAGACTCACACACACACACACAGACTCACACAGACTCACACACACACAGACTCACACACAGACTCACACACACACAGACTCACACACAGACTCACACACACACACACAGACTCACACACACACACACACAGACTCACACAGACTCACACACACACAGACCCACACACAGACTCTCACACACACACACAGACTCACACACACAGACACAGACTCACACACACAGACTCACACACACACACAGACTCACACTCACACACACACAGACTCACACACACACACAGACTCACACACACACACACAGACTCACACACACACACACACACTCGCACACACACACAGACTCACACTCACACACACACACAGACTCACACACACACACAGACTCACACACACACACACAGACTCACACACACACACAGACTCACACACACAGACTCACACACCGACTCACACACACAGACTCACACACAGACTCACACACACAGATGCACACACACACAGACTCACACACAGACTCACACACACACACAGACTCACACACACAGACTCACACACACACACACAGACTCACACACACACACACAGGCTCACATACACACACACAGACTCACACACACAAACATAGACTCATCACACAGAGACCCACAGACTCACCACACAGAGACTCACACACACACACAGACTCACACACACACTCACACACAGACTCATCACACAGAGACCCACAGACTCATCACACACAGAGACCCACAGACTCATCACCCAGAGACCCACAGACTCACCACACAGAGACCCACAGACTCATCACACAGAGACCCATAGACTCATCACACAGAGACCCACAGACTCACCACACAGAGACCCACAGACTCACTCACACAGAGACCCACAGACTCATCACCCAGAGACCCACAGACTCATCACCACACAGAGACCCACAGACCCACCACACACATAGACCCACAGACCCACTCACACAGAGACTCCCCTCCCTCCTCTCCCCGGCCTACCTCGGGTGGTCCAGGTGGACCGAGCGTTTGACCTGCTCGTGGCGAGTGCCGGCTCGCCCTGTGCCCTGCTGCGATTCTCCGCGAGCGTCGGCTCTCTGCGTGGAGTTTACCTGCGGGAGGCCGAGCAGCTGGGCTCCGCTCACGAGTACGGAGTGTCCATCGAGCCGACGTTCCCCGAGGGCACCGGTGAGACACCACGGAGACACAGAGAGACAGAGAGACAGAGAGAGACACAGACACACAGAGAGAGAGACACACAGACACACAGAGACACAGAGACACACAGAGACACAGAGACACACAGAGACACAGCGAGACACACAGACACACACACACAGACAGAGACACACACACACAGAGACACAGACAGAGGCTCACGAGTACGGAGTGTCCATCGAGCCGACGTTCCCCGAGGGCACCGGTGAGACACACAGAGACACAGAGAGAGACACAGAGACACAGAGACACGGAGAGAGAGAAACACAGAGAGACACGGAGAGACACAGAGAGAGAGACACAGAGACACAGAGAGACACACAGAGACACAGAGAGACACAGACAGAGGCTCACGAGTACGGAGTGTCCATCGAGCCGACGTTCCCCGAGGGCACCGGTGAGACACACAGAGACACAGAGAGACAGAGAGACAGAGAGAGACACAGACACACAGAGAGAGAGACACACAGACACACAGAGACACAGAGACACACATAGACACACAGAGAGACACAGACAGAGGCTCACGAGTACGGAGTGTCCATCGAGCCGACGTTCCCCGAGGGCACCGGTGAGACACACCACGGAGACACACGGAGAGAGACACAGAGAGAGACACAGAGACACGGAGAGAGAGAGACACAGAGAGACACAGAGAGACACACAGAGACACACAGAGAGAGAGACACACAGATAGAGAGACACAGACACACAGAGACACAGACACACAGAGACACAGAGAGACACAGAGAGACACACAGAGAGAGAGACACAGAGACACAGACAGAGGCTCACGAGTACGGAGTGTCCATCGAGCCGACGTTCCCCGAGGGCACCGGTGAGACACACAGAGACACGCGGAGACACAGAGAGAGACACAGAGAGAGAGACACAGAGACACAGAGAGACACACAGAGACACAGAGAGACACAGACAGAGGCTCACGAGTACGGAGTGTCCATCGAGCCGACGTTCCCCGAGGGCACCGGTGAGGCACACAGAGACACGCGGAGACACACGGAGAGACACAGAGAGAGAGACACAGAGACACAGAGAGACACAGAGAGACACACAGAGACACACACACAGAGAGAAACACAGAGACACAGAGAGACACAGAGAGACACAGAGAGACACACAGAGACACACAGAGACACACAGAGAGAGAGAGAGACACAGAGACACAGACAGAGACACAGAGACACAGACAGAGGCTCACGAGTACGGAGTGTCCATCGAGCCGACGTTCCCCGAGGGCACCGGTGAGACACCACGGAGAGACACGGAGACACACGGAGACACAGAGAGACACATAGAGAGAGAGACACAGAGACACAGAGAGACACACAGAGACACACACACAGAGAGAGACACAGAGACACAGAGAGACACAGAGAGACACACAGAGACACAGAGAGACACAGAGAGAGAGAGACACAGAGACACAGACAGAGACACAGAGACACAGAGAGAGGCTCACGAGTACGGAGTGTCCATCGAGCCGACGTTCCCCGAGGGCACCGGTGAGACACACCACGGAGACACGGAGACACACGGAGACACAGAGACATAGAGAGAGAGACACAGAGACACACAGAGACAAAGAGAGACAGACACACAGAGACACAGAGAGACACAGAGACACACAGAGACACAGAGAGACACAGACACACAGAGACACAGAGAGACACAGAGACACACAGAGACACACAGAGACACAGAGAGACACAGACACACAGAGACACAGAGAGACACAGAGACACACAGAGACACAGAGAGACACAGACACACAGAGACACAGAGAGATACAGAGAGACACAGACACACAGAGACACAGAGAGACACAGAGACACACAGAGACACAGAGAGACACAGACACACAGAGACACAGAGAGACACAGAGACACAGAGACACACAGAGACACACAGAGACACAGAGAGACACAGACACACAGAGACACAGAGAGACACAGAGACACACAGAGACACAGAGAGACACAGACACACAGAGACACAGAGAGACACAGAGAGACACAGACACACAGAGACACAGACACACACAGAGACACAGAGAGACACAGAGACAGAGAGACACAGAGACACAGAGACACAGAGAGACACAGACACACAGAGACACAGAGACACAGAGAGAGACACAGAGAGACACAGAGACACAGAGACACAGAGAGACACAGAGAGACACAGAGACACACAGAGACACAGAGAGACACAGACACACAGAGACACAGAGAGACACAGAGAGACACAGACACACAGAGACACAGAGAGAGACACAGAGAGACACAGAGACACAGAGACACAGAGAGACAGAGAGACACAGAGAGACACAGACACACAGAGACACAGAGAGACACAGAGACACAGAGAGACACAGAGAGACACAGACACACAGACACACAGAGAGAGGCACAGAGAGACACAGACACACAGACACACAGAGAGACACAGAGAGACACAGACAGAGAGATACAGAGAGAGAGAGAGAGACACACAGTGAGACACAGAGAGACACAGACACACAGACACACAGAGACACAGAGAGACACAGAGAGACACAGACACACAGACACAGAGAGACACAGAGAGACATACAGAGATACACAGAGACACAGAGAGACACAGAGGCACACAGAGAGACACAGAGAGACACAGACACACAGAGACACAGAGAGACATACAGATATACACAGAGACACAGAGAGACACAGAGGCACACAGAGACACAGAGAGACACAGAGACACAGACACACAGAGACACAGAGAGATACAGAGATACACAGAGACACAGACAGAGAGACACAGACAGAGAGACACAGAGAGAGACACAGACAGAGAGAGACACAGAGACACAGACAGACACAGAGAGAGACACAGACAGAGAGACACAGAGAGACGCAGACAGAGAGACGCAGACAGAGAGACACAGACAGAGAGACACAGAGAGACACAGACAGAGAGACACAGACAGAGAGACACAGAGAGACACAGAGAGACACAGACAGAGAGACACAGACAGAGAGATACAGAGAGAGAGAGAGACACACAGTGAGACACACAGAGAGACACAGAGAGACACAGACACACAGACACACAGAGACACAGAGAGACACAGAGAGACACAGACACACAGACACACAGAGACACAGAGAGACACAGAGAGACATACAGAGATACACAGAGACACAGAGAGACACAGAGGCACACAGAGAGACACAGAGAGACACAGAGACACAGACACACAGAGACACAGAGAGACATACAGAGATACACAGAGACACAGAGAGACACAGAGGCACACAGAGAGACACAGAGAGACACAGAGACACAGACACACAGAGACACAGAGAGACACAGAGATACACAGAGACACAGACAGAGAGACATACAGAGAGACACAGACAGAGAGACACAGAGAGACACAGAGAGACACAGAGACACAGACACACAGAGACACAGAGAGACATACAGAGATACACAGAGACACAGAGAGACACAGAGGCACACAGAGAGACACAGAGAGACACAGACACAGACACACAGAGACACAGACACACAGAGACACAGAGAGACACAGAGAGACACAGACACACAGAGACACAGAGAGACATAGAGAGACACAGACACAGAGACACAGAGAGAGACACAGAGAGAGACACAGAGAGACACAGAGAGACACAGAGACACACAGAGACACAGAGAGACACAGACACACAGAGACACAGAGAGACACAGACACACAGACACACAGAGACACAGAGAGAGACACAGAGAGACACAGAGAGACACAGACACACAGAGACACAGAGACACAGAGAGAGACACAGAGAGACACAGAGACACAGAGAGACACAGAGGGACACAGACACACAGACACACAGAGACACAGAGAGAGGCACAGAGAGACACAGACACATAGACACACAGAGAGACACAGAGAGACACAGACACACAGACACACAGAGACACAGAGAGACACAGAGACACAGACACACAGACACACAGAGACACACAGAGACACAGAGAGACATACAGAGATACACAGAGACACAGAGAGACACAGAGGCACACAGAGGCACACAGAGGCACACAGAGAGACACAGAGAGACACAGAGACACAGACACACAGAGACACAGAGAGACATACAGAGATACACAGAGACACAGAGAGACACAGAGGCACACAGAGAGACACAGAGAGACACAGACACACAGAGACACAGAGAGACACAGACACACAGAGAGACACAGAGAGACACAGACACAGAGAGACACAGAGACACAGAGAGAGACACAGAGAAACACAGAGAGACACAGAGACACACAGAGACACAGAGAGACACAGACACACAGAGACACAGAGAGACACAGAGAGACACAGACACACAGACACACAGAGACACAGAGAGAGACACAGAGAGACACAGAGACACAGAGACACAGAGAGACAGAGAGACACAGAGAGACACAGACACACAGAGACACAGAGAGACACAGAGACACAGAGAGACACAGAGAGACACAGACACACAGACACACAGAGACACAGAGAGAGGCACAGAGAGACACAGACAGAGAGATACAGAGAGAGAGAGAGAGACACACACAGTGAGACACAGAGAGACACAGAGAGACACAGACACACAGACACACAGAGACACAGAGAGACACAGACACACAGACACACAGAGACACAGAGAGACACAGAGAGACATACAGAGATACACAGAGACACAGAGAGACACAGAGGCACACAGAGAGACACAGAGAGACACAGGGACACAGACACACAGAGCGACACAGAGACACAGAGAGACACAGAGATATACAGAGCCACAGACAGAGAGACATACAGAGAGACACAGACAGAGAGACACAGAGAGACAGAGACACAGAGAGACAGAGACACAGACAGAGAGACACAGACAGAGAGACACAGACAGAGAGACACAAAGAGAGACACAGACAGAGAGAGACACAGAGACACAGAGAGAGACACAGAGAGAGACACAGACAGAGAGACACAGAGAGACGCAGACAGAGAGACGCAGACAGAGAGACACAGACACACAGAGAGACACAGACAGAGAGACACAGAGAGACAGAGAGACACAGACAGAGAGACACAGACAGAGACAGAGATACACAGAGAGACAGACAGAGAGACACAGAGAGACACAGACAGAGAGACAGAGAGAGATACAGAGACACAGAGAGACACAGAGACACAGACAGAGAGATGCAGAGAGACACACAGAGAGACAGAGACACACAGACAGAGGCATGGACACACGGAGACAGAGAGACACGGAGACAGATACGGAGAGACACACCGTGTCTCCACCGTGTCTCCACCGTGTCTCCGTGTCCCCCACGTGTCTCCCCCCCCATGTGTCCCCCACGTGTCCCCCACGTGTCCCCCACGTGTCCCCCCACGTGTCCCCCACGTGTCTCCCCACCACGTGTCTCCCCCCCCCACGTGTCTCCCCACGTGTCTCCGACGTGTCTCCCCCCACGTGTCTCCCCCACGTGTCTCCCCCCACGTGTCTCCCCCACGTGTCCCCCCCCCCACGTGTCTCCCCCCACGTGTCTCCCCCACGTGTCTCCCCCCACGTGTCTCCCCCACGTGTCTCCCCACGTGTCCCTCACGTGTCCCCCACGTGTCTCCCCACGTGTCCCTCACGTGTCCCCCACGTGTCTCCCCCACGTGTCTCCCCACGTGTCCCTCACGTGTCCCCCACGTGTCTCCCACCACGTGTCCCCACCACGTGTCCCCACCACGTGTCTCCCCCCCACGTGTCCCCACCACGTGTCCCCCACGTGTCCCCACCACGTGTCCCCCCCCACGTGTCTCCCACGTGTCTCCCACGTGTCCCTCACGTGTCTCCCCACGTGTCTCCCCACGTGTCTCCCCACCACGTGTCTCCCCCCCACGTGTCTCCCCCACGTGTCTCCCTCATGTGTCTCCCACGTGTCCCTCACGTGTCCCTCACGTGTCCCCCACGTGTCTCCCCCACGTGTCTCCCCACCACGTGTCTCCCTTCCCACGTGTCCCTCACGTGTCTCCCCCCCACGTGTCTCCCCCCCACGTGTCTCCCCACCACGTGTCCCCCCCACGTGTCTCCCCACCACGTGTCTCCCCCCACGTGTCTCCCCACCACGTGTCTCCTACGTGTCCCCCACGTGTCCCCCACCACGTGTCCCCCACGTGTCTCCCCCCCACGTGTCTCCCCCACGTGTCTCCCCACCACGTGTCTCCTACGTGTCCCCCACGTGTCCCTCACCACGTGTCTCCCCACGTGTCCCTCACCACGTGTCTCCCCACATGTCTCCCCCACGTGTCTCCCACACCACGTGTCTCCCCCCCACGTGTCTCTCCTCCCACGTGTCTCCCACCTGTCCCCCACCACGTGTCTCCCCCCCACGTGTCTCCCCACCACGTGTCCCACACCACGTGTCTCCCACCTGTCCCCCACCACGTGTCTCCCCACCACGTGTCTCCCCCACGTGTCTCCCACACCACGTGTCTCCCCCCCACGTGTCTCCCACGTGTCCCTCACCACGTGTCTCCCCCACGTGTCTCCCCACGTGTCTCCCCACGTGTCTCCCCTCCCACGTGTCTCCCACGTGTCTCACCACGTGTCTCCCCACGTGTCTCCCCTCCCACGTGTCTCCCACGTGTCTCACCACGTGTCTCCCCCCCACGTGTCTCCCCCCCACGTGTCTCCCCCCCACGTGTCCCCCACGTGTCTCCCCCACGTGTCTCCCCACCACGTGTCTCCCCTCCCACGTGTCTCCCACGTGTCTCCCCACGTGTCTCCCCACCACGTGTCTCCCCCCCCCACGTGTCCTTCACCACGTGTCTCCCCACGTGTCCCTCACGTGTCTCCCCACGTGTCTCCCCCCCACGTGTCCCCCACCACGTGTCTCCCCACCACCTGTCTCCCCTCCCACGTGTCTCCCACGTGTCCCTCACGTGTCTCCCCACCACGTGTCCCCCACCACGTGTCTCCCACGTGTCCCTCACGTGTCTCCCCACCACGTGTCCCCCACCACGTGTCTCCCACCACGTGTCTCCCCCACGTGTCTCCCCACGTGTCCCACACCACGTGTCTCCCACATGTCTCCCCACCACGTGTCTCCCACGTGTCTCCCCTCCCACGTGTCTCCCCACATGTCTCCCCCACGTGTCTCCCACACCACGTGTCTCCCACACCACGTGTCCGTGTAGACAACGAAGTGAAGATCGGCCTGCAGCTGCACCTGGCTCTGGCTTGTTCAGCGCCGTGGGCTCGCTGCCCATCCCACCTGGAGCTGATGAACCAGGCACGGCACGTGTCTCTGCAAGTCGACCCGCGGGGCCTACCTGAGGGCCTGCATCACACAGAGGTACCACACACACACACACACAGGTACCACACACACACAGGTACCACACACACACACAGGTGACACGCCACACACACAGGTACCACACACACACACACAGGTGACACGCCACACACACACAGGTATCACACACACACAGGTACCACACACACAGGTACCACACACACACACACACAGGTACCACACCACACACACACAGGTACCACACACACACAGGTACCACACACACAGGTACCACACACACACACAGGTACCACACACACACAGGTACCACACACACAGGTACCACACACACACACACAGGTACCACACACACAGGTACCACACACACACAGGTACCACACACACACAGGTACCACACACACACAGGTACCACACACACACAGGTACCACACACACACACAGGTACCACACACACACGGGTACCACACACACACAGGTACCACACACACACACACACAGGTACCACACACACACACAGGTACCACACACACAGGTACCACACACACACAGGTACCACACACACACAGGTACCATACACACACACACAGGTACCACACACACACAGAGGTACCACACACACACACAGGTACCACACACACACAGGTACCACACACACACAGGTACCACGCCACACACACAGGTACCACACACACACAGGTACCACACACACACACACAGGTACCACACACACACAGAGGTACCACACACACACACAGGTACCACACACACACAGGTACCACACACACACAGGTACCACGCCACACACACAGGTACCACACACAGAGGTACCACACACACACACACAGGTACCACACACACACACAGGTACCACACACACACAGGTACCACGCCACACACACAGGTACCACACACACACAGGTACCACACACACACAGGTACCACGCCACACACACACAGGTACCACACACACACACACAGGTACCACACACACACACAGGTACCACACACACATAGATACCACACACACACAGGTACCACACACACACAGGTACCACGCCACACACACACAAGTACCACACACACACAGGTACCACACACACACACACAGGTACCACACCACACACACACAGGTTCCACACCACACACACAGGTACCACACCACACACACACAGGTACCACACACACACACACAGGTACCACACCACACACACACAGGTTCCACCACACACACACAGGTTCCACACCACACACACAGGTACCACACCACACACACAGGTACCACACCACACACAGGTACAACACCATACACAGGTACCACACCACACACAGGTACAACACCATACACAGGTACCACACCACACACAGGTACAACACCATACACAGGTACCACACCACACACAGGTACAACACCATACACAGGTACCACACCACACACAGGTACCACACACACACAGGTACCACACCACACACACACAGGTACCACACCACACACAGGTACAACACCATACACAGGTACCACACCACACACAGGTACCACACACACACAGGTACCACACCACACACACACAGGTACCACACACACACAGGTACAATACCACACACAGGTACCACACCACACACACAGGTACCACACACACACAGGTACAACACCACACACACACAGGTACCACACACACACACAGGTACCACACCACACACACAGGTACCACACACACACACAGGTCCCACGCCACACACAGGTACCACACACACACACACAGGTACCACGCCACACACACACAGGTACCACGCCACACACACAGGTACAACACACACACAGGTACCACACACACACACACAGGTACAACACACACACAGGTACCATGCCACACACACAGGTGTGTGTGTCTCTGTGTGTGTGTCTGTGTGTGTCTGTGTGTGTCTGAGTGTGTGTCTGTGTGTGTGTCTGTGTGAGTGTGTCACTGTGTGTGAGTGTGTCACTGCGTGTCTGTGTGTCACTGTGTGTGTCTGTGTGTCTGTGTGTGTCACTGTGTGCCTGTGTGTGCCTGTGTGTGTGTCTGTGTGTCACTGTGTGTGTATGTGTGTATGTGTGTGTGTCTGTGTGTGTCTGTGTGTGTGTCTGTGTGTGTGTGTGTGTCACTGTGTGTGAGTGTGGGGAGCGGTAGTGTAGCGGTTAGCGCTACGCTGCCCTACGAACCCGGCGACCCGAGTTCGATTCCCGCTCACGGCCACCACCGGTGACGATTATCTGAACCGGTCCTGGGCCTCCCCTAGGTCGACTCGTCCTCAAATGAGTACCTGGTGCGGTGTGTATTAAACATCGCCACTGGGGAGACAAAGGCGGCCGGGCGTGGTGCTGGCCACCCACCCCCTCGTGTGTCACAGCGCCGGTAGCCTTCATAGGTGCTCGCTAACAGCACTTGCCCCTACAGTATGGTCGAGGCTACACGGGGGACCTTTGTCTTTGTCTTTGTTCAGCTCTGCGCCTACAACATCGCCAGTCCCCAGATGGGCCCGCTGGTTCGGTTCCCCATCACGGTCATCGTTCCCACTCGGTACGCTGAGCACCACACCCCCACTATGTGGGTCTCTGTGTGGTGAGTCTGTGGGTCTCTGTGTGAGGAGTCTCTGTGTGGTGAGTCTGTGGGTCTCTGTGTGGTGAGTATGTGGGTCTCTGTGTGGTGAGTCTATGGGTCTCTGTGTGAGGAGTCTCTGTGTGGTGAGTCTGTGGGTCTCTGTGTGGTGAGTATGTGGGTCTCTGTGTGGTGAGTATGTGGGTCTCTGTGTGAGGAGTCTCTGTGTGGTGAGTCTGTGGGTCTCTGTGTGGTGAGTATGTGGGTCTCTGTGTGGTGAGTATGTGGGTCTCTGTGTGGTGAGTCTCTGTGTGGTGAGTCTATGGGTCTCTGTGTGGTGAGTATGTGGGTCTCTGTGTGGTGAGTCTCTGTGTGGTGAGTCTGTGGGTCTCTGTGTGGTGAGTCTGTGGGTCTCTGTGTGGTGAGTCTGTGGGTCTCTGTGTGGTGAGTCTGTGGTTCTCTGTGTGAGGAGTCTCTGTGTGGTGAGTCTGTGGGTCTCTGTGTGGTGAGTCTGTGTGTCTCTGTGTGGTGAGTCTGTGTGTCTCTGTGTGATGAGTCTGTGGGTCTCTGTGTGATGAGTCTCTGTGTGGTGAGTCTATGGGTCTTTGTGTGATGAGTCTGTGGGTCTCTGTGTGGTGAGTCTGTGGGTCTCTGTGTGGTGAGTCTGTGGGTCTCTGTGTGGTGAGTCTGTGGGTCTCTGTGTGGTGAGTCTGTGGGTCTCTGTGTGGTGAGTCTGTGGGTCTCTGTGTGATGAGTCTCTGTGTGATGAGTCTATGGGTCTCTGTGTGGTGAGTCTGTGGGTCTCTGTGTGGTGAGTCTGTGGGTCTCTGTGTGATGAGTCTATGGGTCTCTGTGGTGAGTCTGTGGGTCTCTGTGTGGTGAGTCTGTGGGTCTCTGTGTGATGAGTCTGTGTGTCTCTGTGTGATGAGTCTGTGGGTGTCTGTGTGGTGAGTCTGTGGGTGTCTGTGTGATGAGTCTGTGGGTCTCTGTGTGGTGAGTCTGTGGGTCTCTGTGTGATGAGTCTATGGGTCTCTGTGTGGTGAGTCTATGGGCCTCTGTGTGAAGAGTCTGTGGGTCTCTGTGTGGTGAGTCTGTGGGTCTCTGTGTGGTGAGTCTGTGGGTCTCTGTGTGAGTGAGTCTGTGGGTCTCTGTGTGGTGAGTCTGTGGGTCTCTGTGTGATGAGTCTGTGTGTCTCTGTGTGGTGAGTCTGTGGGTCTCTATGTGGTGAGTCTGTGGGTCTCTGTGTGAGGAGTCTCTGTGTGGTGAGTCTGTGGGTCTCTGTGTGGTGAGTATGTGGGTCTCTGTGTGGTGAGTCTGTGGGTCTCTGTGTGGTGAGTCTGTGGGTCTCTGTGTGGTGAGTCTGTGGGTCTCTGTTTGGTGAGTCTGTGGGTCTCTGTGTGGTGAGTCTGTGGGTCTCTGTGTGATGAGTCTATGGGTCTCTGTGTGATGAGTCTGTGGGTCTCTGTGTGGTGAGTCTGTGGGCCTCTGTGTGATGAGTCTATGGGTCTCTGTGTGGTGAGTCTATGGGCCTCTGTGTGAAGAGTCTGTGGGTCTCTGTGTGGTGAGTCTGTGGGTCTCTGTGTGGTGAGTCTGTGGGTCTCTGTGTGAGTGAGTCTGTGGGTCTCTGTGTGGTGAGTCTGTGGGTCTCTGTGTGGTGAGTCTGTGGGTCTCTGTGTGGTGAGTCTGTGGGTCTCTGTGTGATGAGTCTGTGTGTCTCTGTGTGGTGAGTCTGTGGGTCTCTGTGTGATGAGTCTGTGTGTCTTTGTGTGGTGAGTCTGTGGGTCTCTATGTGGTGAGTCTGTGGGTCTCTGTGTGAGGAGTCTCTGTGTGGTGAGTCTGTGGGTCTCTGTGTGGTGAGTATGTGGGTCTCTGTGTGGTGAGTCTGTGGGTCTCTGTGTGGTGAGTCTGTGGGTCTCTGTGTGGTGAGTCTGTGGGTCTCTGTGTGGTGAGTCTGTGGGTCTCTGTGTGGTGAGTCTGTGGGTCTCTGTGTGGTGAGTCTGTGGGTCTCTGTATGAGGAGTCTGTGTGTCTCTGTGTGGTGAGTCTGTGGGTCTCTGTGTGGTGAGTCTGTGGGTCTCTGTGTGGTGAGTCTCTGTGTGGTGAGTCTGTGGGTCTCTGTGTGGTGAGTCTGTGGGTCTCTGTGTGGTGAGTCTGTGGGTTTCTGTGTGGTGAGTCTGTGGGCCTCTGTGTGATGAGTCTGTGGGTCTCTGTGTGGTGAGTCTGTGGGTCTCTGTGTGGTGAGTCTGTGGGTCTCTGTGTGATGAGTCTCTGTGTGATGAGTCTGTGGGTCTCTGTGTGATGAGTCTGTGGGTCTCTGTGTGGTGAGTCTGTGTGTCTCTGTGTGGTGAACCTGTGGGTCTCTGTGTGATGAGTCTTTGCGTCTCTGTGTGGTGAGTCTATGGGTCTCCGTGAGTCTATGGGTCTCTGTGTGGTGAGTCTATTGGTCTCTGTGTGATGAGTCTATGGGTCTCTGTGTGGTGAGTCTGTGGGTCTCTGTGTGGTGAGTCTATGGGCCTCTGTGTGAAGAGTCTGTGGGTCTCTGTGTGGTGAGTCTATGGGTCTCTGTGTGGTGAGTCTATGGGTCTCTGTGTGGTGATATTGTTGACAATGCTTCTGCTGATGATGCTGCTGCATTTGCTGATGCTGCTGACCGTGCTACTGCTGGTACTGCTGGTACTGACCGTGGTACCTGCTGGTACTGCTGGTACTGACTGTGGTACTGCTGGTACCTGGTGTTTCAGGGTGACACAGGAGAGTCAGTACGAGCGGCTGTGGTACTGCTGGTACTGCTGGTACTGATGGTACTGACTGTGGTACTGCTGGTACCTGCTGGTACAGCTGGTACCTGCTGGTTCTGACCGTGGTACCTGCTGGTACTGCTGGTACTGACCGTGGTACTGCTGGTACTGATGGTACCTGCTGGTACTGCTGGTACTGCTGGTACCTGCTGGTTCTGACCGTGGTACCTGCTGGTACTGCTGGTACTGCTGGTACTGACCGTGGTACTGCTGGTACTGATGGTACCTGCTGGTACAGCTGGTACCTGCTGGTACTGACCGTAGTACCTGCTGGTACTGCTGGTACTGCTGGTACTGACCGTGGTACCTGCTGGTACTGCTGGTACTGCTGGTACTGCTGGTAGCTGCAGGTACTGCTGGTACCTGCTGGTACAGACCGTGGTACTGACGGTGGTACTGACCGTGGTACCTGCTGGTACCTGGTGTTTCAGGGTGATGCAGGAGAGTCAGTACGAGCGGCTGTGGAGTGGTGGTACTGCTGGTACTGACCGTGGTACCTGCTGGTACTGACCGTGGTACTGCTGGTACTGACTGTGGTACTGACCGTGGTACTTACCGTGGTACCTGGTGTTTCAGGGTGATGCAGGAGAGTCAGTACGAGAGGCTGTGGAGTGGTGGTACTGCTGGTACTGACCGTGGTACCTGCTGGTACTGACCGTGGTACTGCTGGTACTGACTGTGGTACTGACCGTGGTACTTACCGTGGTACCTGGTGTTTCAGGGTGATGCAGGAGAGTCAGTACGAGAGGCTGTGGAGTGGTGGTACTGCTGGTACTGCTGGTACTGACCGTGGTACCTGCTGGTACTGCTGGTACCTGGTGTTTCAGGGTGACACAGGAGAGTCAGTACGAGCGGCTGTGGAGTGGTGGTACTGCTGGTACTGATGGTACTGCTGGCACCTGCTGGTACTGACCGTGGTACCTGCTGGTACCTGGTGTTTCAGGGTGATGCAGGAGAGTCAGTACGAGCGGCTGTGGAGTGGTGGTACTGCTGGTACTGACTGTGGTACTGCTGGTACTGACCGTGGTACTGCTGGTACTGCTGGTATTGCTGGTACTTACCGTGGTACCTGCTGGTACCTGGTGTTTCAGGGTGACACAGGATATTCAGTACGAGCGGCTGTGGAGTGGTGGTACTGCTGGTACTGCTGGTACTGATGGTACTTACCGTGGTACCTGGTGTTTCAGGGTGACACAGGATAGTCAGTACGAGAGGCTGTGGAGTGGTGGTACTGCTGGTACTGCTGGTACTGATGGTACTTACCGTGGTACCTGGTGTTTCAGGGTGACACAGGATAGTCAGTACGAGCGGCTGTGGAGTGGTGGTACTGCTGGTACTGCTGGTACCTGGTGTTTCAGGGTGATGCAGGAGAGTCAGTACGAGAGGCTGTGGAGTGGTGGTACTGCTGGTACTGCTGGTACCTGGTGTTTCAGGGTGACACAGGATAGTCAGTACGAGAGGCTGTGGAGTGGTGGTACTGCTGGTACCTGGTGGTACTGACTGTGGTACCTGCTGGTACTGCTGGTACTGCTGGTACTGCTGGTACCTGGTGTTTCAGGGTGATGCAGGAGAGTCAGTACGAGAGGCTGTGGAGTGGTGGTACTGCTGGTACTGCTGGTACTGCTGGTACTGCTGGTACCTGGTGTTTCAGGGTGACACAGGATATTCAGTACGAGCGCCTGTGGAGTGGTGGTACTGCTGGTACTTACCGTGGTACCTGCTGGTACTGCTGGTGTTTCAGGGTGACACAGGATATTCAGTACGAGCGGCTGTGGAGTGGTGGTACTGCTGGTACTGCTGGTACCTGGTGTTTCAGGGTGATGCAGGAGAGTCAGTACGAGAGGCTGTGGAGTGGTGGTACTGCTGGTACCTGCTGGTACTGACTGTGGTACTGCTGGTACCTGCTGGTACCTGCTGGTACCTGGTGTTTCAGGGTGACACAGGATATTCAGTACGAGAGGCTGTGGAGTGGTGGTACTGCTGGTACTGCTGGTACTGACTGTGGTACCTGGTGTTTCAGGGTGACACAGGATAGTCAGTACGAGAGGCTGTGGAGTGGTGGTACTGATGGTACCTGCTGGTACTGACCGTGGTACCTGCTGGTACTGCTGGTACCTGGTGTTTCAGGGTGATGCAGGAGAGTCAGTACGAGAGGCTGTGGAGTGGTGGTACTGCTGGTACTGAT